ACCAGCAATGTAAAGGTGCTAGATTTGCATTCGCGCGCTGAGACCGCCGTTGGTTTCCCGCTGTTTGCAGATTTTGAATTGCGTTAACGAGTCTTTATATATTAGATTTAAATTGATAGAGGGTGGATGAAACTACAATCATGCATAATTATAATAGATAGATAGTTACTCTCTAATCTTACGCAAGGCCAAAGTCTTGACAAATAAAAATTCTACTGAACATGTCACGACATTTTTCTTAGGTGCTCTACAGTTTCATTCATCATCTCATTCGATTATTTTCGCTTCATGCTATCCATTATTACTGCTCAAAACAAATACTACGCGTGATACGTTTCAGTGCCGAGTTCAAAGAACACTTAAAGTTATGAATTCATCGGCAGCATTTTTCCAATTGCACAAATTTTTTAATTACTTCATTTTGATTACTTCATCAAGTGCAAATTCTTACAGATCATGAGAAGGAATTCACAGGTGAAATTCAAAAACACTAATATGCCAAACACTAATATGCCAACGAGCTTCTCAATGGTATGCACTATCGAAAAGGAATTTTGGTGGGAAAAAGTTGTCCTGGAAAAAGGTTTGCAAAAACGGCCATTATTTTTGCATCGACCTAGTAGTTTCGTAGTGTGGATGTAATTTTAGTATCACTTTTGGTAGGCAAGTGGGATAAATTGTGACAAACTAATAATGGAAGCGATATTCTTTAACGTAGAAACTGTGATTTAGAGCTTGGCATGTGCTGCATCATTCACTTTTGCTATTTGCTTAGTCATACGAATCTTTTTTGAGTATATAACGATGAGGGGAACTCCTTCTCTTTGACCGAATTTAGTAAGAGCGAGCTTTGAAAAAGAGCTAAACTCAGAAACAAAGTGAAATATGAAATAAATGGTGGAGCTTCCCTTTTCAAAGGTTTCCTCAATATTGGAGTTCTCCTGCTTTCGACCCATCAATATCAAACCCTGGGCAAAATTCTAAATGCACATACAATAGCCTCAACCCATAAATGTTCTTTGAACGCACCGCCCAGCAAGTGCGCTCAAGTGGCCGCGCAAGAACAAGTGACTACTCTCCATTTTTAGCACAACACACTGATGCACGGGCATCGCAAAAGCAACAATAGCCCATTAAAGGAGGTGCAGTTCTACTCGCGCATAAAAAGTGAAGGTAACTCACCGTTCTGTGGAGCGGTGTAAGCGAGAACGTTCTGGATTTCAGTCTGACCCAGAAAATTGTTTAAATTCGCCTCGGTGAACAGTTTTCCTTCAGTAGCGAGACGCCTACAATAAGCCATTTTTTCCTGCGAAAATGAACATTCAAAGATACCTGAGAATATTCGGTCTTCCTTCGAGAGTTCTGAATCCTGCAAATGGACCACGAACCACCTGCCCAGCACCGTCGGTGTCTCCCATGAACAACGGGGAAAACATCATGGAATCACGGGGGTCAGGGAGGTAAGAGTCCAA